ATATTTGAGAATCCAAAATTTAAAATTAAGACCATTGATTTCTATCTCCAACTTTGAAATTGCCTGGCCAAAATTTGTTGAGCTCATATAATTTGAAAGACTTGCGCATTGAGGAGATCAAAAACCTCTTCTCAGGATATCATAATTCTTTGTCTAAGAACTTACAGTGTAATTGATGTTGAGAGGTGAAGCACCTAAGGCATAAAAACTAATAGATAATGGCCCTACTAATTTATTAGGAACTCAACTCTTGTATCACTTGTGATGTAGAACTATTTGATGCGGGGCTTCCCCCACATGGATGCGAGAGTGGATTCTTGCATTGTCACGGGTCTAGGGGAGACGGGAAAACAAACAGCCAGCTGATCTGGCTGGTAAGACTGGTCCAGGGAGCCCGGTTCAGCCATTTAATGGGGCGAGCGGACCAAGCGGCCCATCCTTTCGTGTCTCCCGCCCAGATCGAGCGGGATTTGGGGAAGAAGCGGCTTTGGCGTCTTTCCTTTTGCGTTTACCGCCCGGTTCGAGCATTACTGGCCGCCTCCTCCTCTTTCCTTTCACCTCTTCTTTCTTTTCTTGTTTCCCGCCTAGCTAGAGCTATATGTATGTTGGTTTGCTAAGATTCTAGGGAGTTTTTGTTTTATGTTGATTTCATATTCCTGTGAGGAGTCATTTTTTGCTTTGTTGGTTGTATCTGAGGAGGTGATGGTGCTTCGGTTGTATCCTACTCCGAAGTAGTGATTGTATCTCTTCTTTTATCTTCCCTACCTTTTCTCTTCTACTTCCCTTAGCCGTCGGCCACCCCCAACAGCTTCCCCACTCGCTGTCCTGCATGCCCTCTTGATGTCCGGCCTTCCCCACTTGCTGTCCAACCTGCCCTCTTGTTGTTCAGCCTTCCCCGCTTGCTGTCCGGCCTTCTCTTTTGCTGTCTCGCGTTCCCTCGCTCGATATCCAGCCTCCCTGCTTGCTATGCAGCCTTCCCGCTTGTTGTCCAGCCTCCCCGCTTGCTGGCCAACCATATCAATCCACCTAGCAGACCTCCACCATCCTTAAAATACACTCTCAAGGTGCCCGTCTGTGTCGTTTTGTATTTTGGCGATGTTATTTCTAGTTTGCGTGTGTTGTAACCCTAGTTTCCTATTAATAAAGCTTTTTTTTTTTTTTTGAGGTTTTTTCTTCCGGTATCATTTGGTATCAGAGCTAGACCAACCCTCGTCCTCTCCTATGGTCCCTAGAATCCGCCCTTAGCTAAGCCACCTCCACCAAAATTTTTCTTTCTTTTTCCTAAACCTTAGCCTTGCCACTAATAAAATACATGCCTGAGCCTTCCCGGGAGGAGATACTGCGAGAGATCCAACAACTTTAGCTAAGTCTCACAGACATTGAGAATAAAATTCAATGGAAGACTACCATCTACTATGATCTGAAAGCTCAAAGGAGGGAACGAGAAGATATGAAGATGAAACGTGAAACACAGCGTCAGTTCCTACCAACTTCCTATCACCAGAAGTTGCAGACTCTAGCTTCCGAAGTGGAAAGACAGCAGCACCAAGCGACCCCCCTTGATACTATCTGGCAAAATCAATCTGCAAGCCTGTCACAGCCAGAAAGTGTTGCAAATGTCGCAGATTCAGACATGTGGAAGCAGTATGCACAACCAGGAGAGTGGTTAACTTCACCAACTTGGGCATCATCGAAAAGTTGGGTAAAGACACCGCAGACCATCTTCCAGTTGAAGAGATGAACAGTGACCAGAAAGAAGATACAGACTTCAGAGAGATTCTCATTTTTCAATCAACGAGGAAGAGACGCAACCAGCTCCACTGGATCCCGAGATAAAAATTCCAGCTGAGATTGAACATGTCCTTGTTCATTCTCTTGTACTTGGGATGGGCACCTCTACTCTTGTCGAAAATCTTCAATCAATGTCTGTAATTCCAGCCCACCATTGGCAGGAGCAGCAGGTAGTTCAAAAAGTTTCTCAAGTTCCAAATCAAGACAAATACCATCCGTCACAATTGGAGCATAGTCTTCTTCGATCTCATGCTCAACCATGAACTTTTTGCTACAAAGAATATACTTCATCCAAAATATCTTAGCTCTCCCATGAGCCAAACACGGAGGTTCGGTCCTAAAACATTTGTGTCAATTGAACAAATGAAGGTCCCCAAATCAACTGATAAAGCTCATCATGTTTCCCGAGAAAGGCAGCAGGCAACACTGAACAAGAATTCAAAATTTAATGCTCCATTATTTGAACCAACTGAGCAGACAAGTAAAAAAGAGGTCCTAGATCAGAATGCAGACTCAGCAACTAATGACCGCACTAACAAGTTTTGGAGTCAGCCTACAATGCGACTAGAGTGCTGCTCAAATTCTTGGCATTAATGCTAACAGTGTTGAAGAATACACTGAGGATAACCTTTTTTTTCCAACACCTTCTGCTCCAGTTATTGGATCACCAAGCTCCATGACCACCAATACGGCAAAGGATCCTGTTCTTCTAGACGAGCAAGCACTTTTGACTTGCATTGGTCGGACAATTCCAGCTGGTTCTGATGGTCGAATCGGAATTAGCACCACCTTGCCAAATAGGCTTGGAAAAATGGGAAAAATGCTTGCACCTCTAATAGGCTTGGAAAAATGCTTGCACCTCTACACTGGCATGATTACAAGAAACACTATGGAAAGCTTGATGATTTTTTGGCTCGTCATCCAGAATTATTTGTAATTGAAGGAGACTATATTCATCTGTGTGAAGGAGCTCAAGAAATTATTTCAACTACTGTAGCTGCGGCAGAACTTGCAGCAGTTTTTGTATCCTTTCCTCTTTATGACTTCTTCTTACATACTAGTTCATCAAATGCACTTAGCCGACTATGAGGAGTTGAAAAGTGCATCACAACTGAGATGGCTCGATAGATGCTCAATGAGAATACTTTTCTTTCTACAGTTCCAAGTCAAGGCGTGTCAAAAATGGACGGATATTTATTCTATCAAAGTATGTTTTAGAATGACAACACCTACAAGATTGACCTATCAGGGGGCTACAATGTCTCAGTCGTGCTTAACGTCGCCTACCTGACATAGTACTAGGAGGAGCCTCAAGCTTTGACAAATAAAGTCGGTCCTCCCCCCAACCCCGGAGACTGACGTGGGGCTTCCCCTGTGTGGACACGGGAGTGGGTTCACGCATTGTCGCGGGTCCAGGGGAGACGGGAAAACAAACAGCCAGCTACACCGGCTGGTAAGACCGGTCTAAGGAGCCCGGTTCAACCATCCAATGGGGCGAGTGGCTTGACCAAGCGACCTGTTCTTTCCCGTCTCTTGCCCATTTCGAGCGGATTTGGGGGAGAGGTAGCATTGGCGTCTTTCCTTTTGCATCTCCTGCTTGGTTCATGCGTTATTGGCCGCTGCCTCCTCTTTTCTTTCTTGTTTCCCGCCTAGTTAGGGCTATATGTATGCCGGTTTGCTAAGAGTCTTGGGAGTTTTTGTTGTGTGTTGATTTCAGATTCTTGTGAGTTCTTTTTCCCTTTGTGGGATGTATCCGAGGAGGTTGTGGTGCTCCGGCTACATCCTACTCCGAGTTGGTGATTGTATCTCTCATTTTATCTTCCCTACCCCTTCTCTTCCCCTTCCCTTAGCCGCCAGCCACCTTCAACAGCTTCCCCGCTTGCTTTCTGGCCTGCCCTCTTGTTGTCCATAGGGCTGTCGAAATGACTCGTTGTTCGAGAATAGTTCATGTTCGGCTCGTTAAGATGCTTGTGTTCGATTCGTTTGCTAAGTTAATGAGGCGAACATGAACAATTTTTTTGCACTCAATATATAAATGAATTGAACATGAACAAGGAAATTTTTATTTGTATTCGGCTCGTTTTAACTCGAAATAATTTAATTGATTAGTATTTTAAAAAAAATTAATTGACTACATGGCTACAATGATTTATAATCAATTAAAATTAGTAATTAAGGAAATTGAATAAAAATATATTAAAGTATATTTAAATAATGTTTTAATATAAATAATAAAATTTAAATTTCGCCCTAGCCCTTAACTTCCTACGGTTGCCTGACTAAGATTGTCAAAACAACTCTTTGTTCGCGAACAGCTCGAGTTCGGCTCACCAAGTAAATTAGTCGAACACGAACACATTTTTCTATTTGAAATATTAATGAGCCGAACATGAATAGTGGAATTTTTTAACGAGCCGAACACGTGTTGCACTTGGGCTTGCTCGTGTTTGAATCGTTTACAGCCCTAGATGTCCAGCCTTCCTCGCTTGTTGTCCAGCCTGCCTTCTTGCCGTTCAGCCTTCCCCGCTTGCTGTCCGGCCTTCCCTTTTGCTGTCCAGCCTTCCCCGCGTGCTATCCATCCTCCCCGCGTGCTATCCAGCCTCACTGCTCGCTACACAGCCTTTCCACTTGCTGGCCAACTATCCCGATCCGTCTAGCCGACCTCCACCGCCCTTGGGATACAATCTTGAGGTGTTCATTTATGTCGTATTGTGTTTTGGTGATGTTTTTTCTAGTTTGTGTGTGTTGTAACCCTCGTTTCCTATTATTATTATTATTAATTTTTTTTTTTTTTGTGACATAGGTTTTTTCTTCCTATATCATTATTCTTCCCAGATGAAGCTCATCAATCCTATTAAAAGTCGTGCATAAAAAAACTATCAAATCTTGGACTGTCCTGATCCAGGACTATTCTTCACTCTCCCCATTTTCATAGCCGATGCATGTGTGACCAATTGATTTAAAAAATTGCTTGAAATCATGCAGATTATTTCATGTTGGAAAATATTTGAATTTCTTAGCTTAGAGATTTAGAAGGCGAAGAATGCAAGCATAATCATTCTCTTCCTAGGAACTGCGTTGACTAATATTATTGTTTTGACTTCGTACTCTATCATTTTGACTTGTTTCCCTCTTGAGCAAACTTCTCAAGCTCCTGAATTCTCTATGCTCCTCAAATTACATCAGTTGTAACGCTAAATATTTAACAGGAGCGCGGCTTGTTTCCGGAAGCCTTCTACGTCTTCCAGTTCTCCTACTAATCCCCAAATTCTCCAGCAAAATGATGAAAAATTGGATCCTTTTGCTTCCCATACTGATTCAAGTGAAACTACTCAGGGAGATGATTCCCGGTCAATAAATTTAATGAACTATCTGTTTCCATTTGGAGATTGGTTCTTAAATCCATGGTCAATGCTTCAGCGAAGACACCAAAAATCTAAAAGCCATATATCGAATCCAAGGTACGTTATTACCATTTTACGTCGACTTCGTGTCGCTGACTTCTTTATATTCTTTGATCCAATTTCAGTGTTTACTATGCTCCGACAGAATTATGCAATCTGATGAGAACGATATAAATCAAATTCCCCCGAATCCTCTTCTTCCTAAGATCACAATGGTCGGCGTGTCGATGGGCGAAGGAGGTCAGATGAACAGGGCTAACTTGAAGAAGACCATGGAAGATTTGACCAAGGAGTTGGAGGAGGCAAATCTAGCATCAGGAAGCTGCAGTAAAGGTAGGGATCCTTTATTTGTTGCGAATGTCGGAGGCTATTCGAGTATCACCAGGATGAACTAGCCATAAGAAACACATGAAGAAAAAGATCTGCACATGTTATGATTGATCCATGTTTTTTTCTTTTCTTTTTTTTCTTTTTATAGGAAGGTCTTTTCAAGTTTGGTTATGTGATAGAATTGACAAATAAATTAGATGTAAAATTAGATGTGAAGTCTTGCATATGTAGTGGAATTGCGATTAAATTTGCCTAAAAATCTTGAAATAATTGTGGCAATTTTTCTATGTTTTCTACAAATAAGTTTTTCCTAGTGGTGAAAATGAAAAGAGTTTTTGTTTACAATGTGCATTATATATATATATATATATATATTTATTTATTTATTTATTTCTTACACAGGAATATGTTGAGCCCCAAATAAAATTTTTAATGTTTAGAGATAAAACAAACAACAATATTAAACGTAGCATTTGCTCACTTTTTTTTTATTATAAAAAATAATAAAAATGAAGTGTTATTAAAATCATTATTGTCATATTGACAACGGAGAATCTAAGGAAAAAAATTTGCGTACGCAAGACGTACGCAACGCTGTGTACGTCAGTAGGTTACAAGAAGGGTATTGGGGGGTATATTCATGTTATACCCCGTAATCTCCCTGTAACCTACCTGATATATGAAAACAGAAACGTGGAACTTACTAAGTTAAATATAGGTTTCAAGGAGATTACATGGGGTATAACGCAAGTACAACCTTCAAATACCCTCCCTGTAACCTATTGACTTACACAGCGCTGCATACGTCTTACGTACGCAATTTTTTTCCACAATTCAGGGCCTTCGTAAATAACGCAAGTACAACCTTCAAATACCCTCCCTGTAACCTATTGACTTACAAGCGCTGCGTACGTCTTACGTACGCAATTTTTTTCCAGAATTCAGGGCCTTCGTAAAGTTTTTCTCCAAGTTTTTATATCTCCAGCTTTATTTTTGAAAGATAAACTGTCATTTTCATTACCCTTATAATTTAACCATTGAGACATTCAAGCAGCTGAAACTGCCGGACAAACAAGACAACT